GGCTTATTTTCAGGGGAGGGCTTCTTGTAGCGCATGCACTCAAAAGCCCGATTGGGCTTATTATCTGGGGAGGTCTTCTTTTGGGGGAAACAGAGTAGTTATATAGTAAACGACACACCTTAAAATAGAAAGAACACCATATATCTAAAGATCATTGATAAAGATCAATCTTCCAAGAAGAATATATCTCCTTTGAAGATTGGAAGGCAGGGCTCCCCAAACACCGGGCTGAGCTCCACTACCAGACCGTGGTTTGTTCGAAGTTGGGTCACACAAGAGGTGTGGCACGTGAACAGGGGCGGGATTCTACCGGTTCAGACCGGTTCTGGTAGCTCCAACGATCTGCTGATCCTGCCCGCCTGCCCCTGAGCTATACTCACCTATATTCCCTGTTCGGAAGCCAGGTGATCGGCATGGCAGAGCGGATTGCCGTGCCTCAGCTGTTTTGCACCGAGGCTGCAGTAGAAGCTAAGTTTTTTAACCCATTGCGTGCGCAAGGGCTCACCGGACCGGTTGTTACGCCAGTTGAATCCCATCATTGCACCCGAAGTTCCAATCGCGCGAGTGGTGGGTCCTTGCACTCGCACGCAAAGCTCCATTTCCATGAGTAGAGGGCACGCACATGTGCCGCTTACATCAATGGAGCTGTGTTTGTGTGCGTGCACCTGGCACTCACACATCCTATGCTGGGCAGCAGTTGAGGACCACTGCTATAGGGAAAAAGGAAATATGGCAAAGAACACAACCTACCATTGTTTTTCAGAGTATAAGACACACCTTCCCCCCCCTAAAAGACTGTGGAAATGTTGTGTCTTATACACGGGACATTTTTCGCAAAAACGGAGGCGTTTTTGCCTTCCCCTACCCTCCAGAAGCACTCTGCAAGCTTCAGCAGGGCTGGGGGAAGGCAAAAATGCTATTTTTGCAAAAAATGATGCGTTTTCCACCCATTTTCCACGAAAATGGGGGCGTTTATGCCTTCCCCCAGTCCTGCTGAAGCCGGCAGTGTGTTCCTAGGGGCACGGGAGGACAAAATCTTTTTTTTCTTACTTACCTCTTCGGAATCTTATACACCAGTGCCACTTAATAGTCTGAAAAATATGGTATCTTTACCCCATGTCAGTCCTATCCAAAACTTCAAGTGCCCACAGGGTACCGTCAGAAAAGTAAAACTGGCCGCCATTACTGTGATGCACATTAGAAACACAGAGATTTGATCACACACACCATATTTATTTTTTTGCATATTTCTGCCGATGTTCCTCATCCATTTAGGTGAAATCTGAGAGATGGGGGCCGGCCTTTCACAATTTGGAACCGAAGCTCGCACCTGTATTTATTGGGGACACCATACCTTGTCTTTGTCTTTCAGGTCGAGCGATTCCATAGCTTTATGCTGCTGTTGTCCAAAGATTTCAAGTAAGTTGTCATAATTGGTGGTAAGCACCATCGTCCCCCGTTCCATTAGTTGGAGGATGGAGTGGAGGACAGCAGGATGTTGAATGTGTTGGTCCAAGTTGTCAAACACCTCCATTAAACAGTCCTGGAAAAAGTTGGGCTTAGCATCCCCTGTGCGCTGCGGAAAGAAACGGAACAGCTTCAAGGAAATGGAACAATGTATATCTTAGAAGTTTTGGATGATGTCTGGAACTGCAAAACATTTCCACATTGTGTTCTGACTTAGGCCTCCTGAAAACATGAAGCAAACTTCTTGTCCCAACAAATCCCCTTGTATTAATTGACTGTGAATTCTGCTCATTCGCATCCAGCAAAGTCTTTGGAGGGAGGATTTACAGTCACAGACTTTCTCTGGCTTGGAGAGCTGACAGGCTGATCTCTACAAAACTTGGCCAGGAGCCTCGGAGAGTCATGAACCAATTAAACGAACTAATTGTCTCCTGCAAACTCCATTCCTCTTTCGCTCCTCTTTTATTTCCTCTGGGAGGGACCATTTATCGTCTACCTGTGGCCTTACTCCCAAATTGACCACTATTCTTTAGATGTCCCCTTCATCTGGCAACTCTGTGCATGCGCACACTGGGAACAGGCTCCAGCTGTTCGTCTGCCTCACTGATGTCTGACTCTGAAGGCACTGAGAACTGGCATATGGCTCCGGCCCCCTCTCTGCCTCCAACACAGAGCCCTCATCAGAGCCTTCCCCAGACTCCAGGACTGGCCCATGTTCCTCCCCAACCTCCTCACTGTCCGAATCAGCTACCAGATCCACTGGCTCCTGCCGGGCCACAACACATTGGAGATGAACTATTTTCAGGGCTACTCACTGCTTTTCTAATCTCCTGAAATTTTCAACATGCAACTCGGATTCTTCCGTTGATAGGCCAAGAAAATACGTCATCCAAGATAGTCTTTTTTCCTACTTTAGGAGGGAACTGATCATATTTATTTTTACTTGGGCGCTTAAGGGAATTCTTGGAGGGTAATTTTCCGCTAGTGATTTTTAATGATTTGTTAGACTGCATTTTAATGACGCGTTAAGAGTAGAATTTGATTGATGGGATAATTGCAGATGTCTGTAAGACCCCTAGAGCTATAAAATGGAAACTGACAGCATGTCGGTGTTTTTGTTTAAGAAAGTAAGAAAGATTGCAATCCTATGCAAATTGTAATCTGGTCTGGAGTTAGTTTCGTTGCTGCCTTTCTGAATAAATAATAAAGCTGTTCCCACAATGGGATATGGATCACCCCAAAAGTTGATCCCTCACTAATTATAGGTAGGCAAGTGGTAGAAGATTCAAAAGTGTGCATCTTAGACACTGATCCCCTTTCTGTGGGCAGGAGATAGCAACCCCCTTGCAGAATTACTTTTGCTGGCTGGCTAAATTCAGGGCAGAAGAAAACCTTATTCGTCCAAACATAAAATGGCTACTTTCCTAAGTAGGATATTTTTGGTTGAGAGACATTACTTCTTGGTTTGCTATGACTGCAGTTTTGCCAAAAACTAAAAAAGTGTTGCTTTTAGTCATAAAATGCAGTCATTTCATCAATGCAATGCAATTGCAATGCAATCACATGAGAGGTGGTATTCAGCAGGTTCTGACCAGTTCTGGAGAACCAGTAGCAGAAATTTTGAGTAGTTCAGAGAACTAAATACCACCTCTGACTGGCCCTGCCCCCATCTATTCTCTGCCTCCTGAGTCCCAGCTGATCTGGAGGGAATGATAGAAGAGCCGAGGTGGCGCAGTGGTTAGGGTGCAGTACTGCAGGCCACTTCAGCTGACTGTGATCTGCAGTTCAGCGGTTCAAATCTCACCGGCTCAAGGTCGACTCAGCCTTCCATCCTTTCGAGGTGGGTGAAATGAGGACCCAGACTGTGGGGGCAAGTTGCTGACTCAATTTGCTAAAAAAATCTGTAAACCGCTTAGAGAGGGCTGAAAGCCCTATGAAGCGGTATATAAGTCTAATTAATAAATAATAAATAAATAATGATGATTTTGCAGTATCCTTCCCCTGCCACGCCCACTGAGCCACGCCCACAGAACCGGTAGTAAAAAAAAAATTAAATCCCACCACTGAATCACACTTTCAAATACCCAACACTGTGGCGGGGGCCTGACTGCTGGAATTTTGATTCTGGATCATATGTTCCCTTTTTCTGGTTGGTTGTAACTTCAAATAGTCACTAAGTGACCAGTCATAAATCAAAGACTACCTACAATGGAAAGCCTGATTAGGGACACAGATCCATTTACTTTATCCACTTTCAAAGCAGGAATAACATTCTCTTCAGATCCTTAGTTGAGAAATGCTCACCGGTGACATCTTTCGGATTAAATCGTGGGCAACCACAAGCAAATCTCGGTCTTTGGACACTTTTTGACGGAAATCGGCCACATCTCCGGGATGTAACACTTCTAGCTGGTCAGCTGCTTCGATGACCGCTTCAATGCAACTCCGCCACGAACACAAGGCTGGAATTCCTGGTGCAACAGCAGCACTCACCCCAGTTCCAATTACTAGCAGGAGTTCTTGGGGCTGCTTCCGTATAAGGCTTTTCAAAAATTTCCTAAAAGAGAAATCCACTAAAACTCTGTTTTGGATCACAATTGCTATGTCTCTAGACAGTCACTCGATTATATCACAGATTAAAAATATCTAATCCCCTTACAGGAACAGAAAGTCACACTGTCAAATAATTAAGAGATTCTGGAATTAACAAAGGAAATAACTTAATTAAGCCATCCAGAGTTGTTGGGAGTAGAGATGGGAAGGCCTGGGGGGGGGGGGGACAGAAAAAATGGGGGAAAAACAGGATTTTCCCAAAATTATTTGGAAAAAAGGGGGGAAACAGGTTTTTTCATTTTTCCGCATTTTTCCTGCTTTTTCCCAAAACTGTTTGAAAAAAGACAACAGAAAAAACCCTGGTTTTTTCCCAATTTAGGTTTTTTTCCCCCCCAGGCATTTCCAACTCGTCAGGAGGAAGGGAGGGAGGAATGAAAGAAGGAAAGATAGGAAGGAAGGAAAGAAGGAAGGAAGGAAGGAAGGACGGACGGATACATTAATGTGGAGCTTCCCATTTTAATTTTACCCTTGAACTGAAAGGAGAAAAGCAAATATTACAGTAACTTTAAAGGGCTCCAAATTTGCCCTTATTTTAACAGATATTTTAGGTGTAATCAACAGGATAAAAAGAAGAGGTAAAGAATGGGCACTCTCTTGATTTCTCTAGAAAAAGGAGGCAAGGTTTTTAAAAAGAGATTTCTGCTTTTAGGCGCAAGGAATATCCTCTTGTACCAAACAATTTGATATTATGAAATGGCGACAGTAGCGAGCCAAATGAAAAGGAGGAAGGAAAAGTGTTCTGTCTAGGAAAGATGCTCTATGATACCATTATCAGTAATCCTCTTCTCACAGAGGGGGTCAAAAACCCCAAATCCTGCCCCTCAACATCACAAATAAAAAACAGGCGGTTCTTCAACTCAGTGTTGGGTTGCCAATTTTTTTACTAACAGTTTGGGTGTGCTTGCACAAAAGTGTCCGGGTGGATGGGCGGAGCCTGCCACTGCTACCGGTTCGCCTGATCCAGGCCGAACCGGGAGCAACCCACCTCTACTTCAACTGCATGGTTGTTACTACCATTTTTGTATATATTTTTTTTGATACACATACTCACTCCCAGGAAGCCTTATTATTAAGTCTAACCTTTTATTCATTTATTTACCTTGATTTTTGCTCACTTTTAAACGTCGACTTCTTTGAGGGCTCCATTCTCTGTCTCCCCTTCCTATGAAGTAAGAATGCATGGAGTCAGGAGTATTCAACGAGCAGCTACACCAACTGATGAGATTAATTGATTAAAAACGTAGTTCAATAAATCTCAGACAAAGACTGGCAGTAACCTCTCCTGGATCACAGCTCTTTTCACCAGCCTGCCAAACTGAATTCCCTTTTCTTTCAAACACCTGATCTGTGCATCCCCACACATGCCAACTTGCAGATTTTAACACGCACACACACACATCACACAAAGGTACCCCTGGCGCAGGCCAATTCCGGAGCATGGTGTGAGGCTTCCCACCGTCAAAGAAATGAACAATAATGGATTATTACTCAGAAAAGGTTGTCAGCCTTTTCTGAACTTCAATATGCAAACACTTCAGAGAAACTTCTGTGCCCACATTTCCAAAGAATAGTGTAATATCCATTGCGATCATAATAATTACTTTTACAGCGGGTGAGTTTAAATGAACAATTTAAATCGTGAATAAAATTCAATAAGAACAAAAGCCGGTTTAAATCAATCTCCTATTGACCCTTTGTCTAATAAGTTTTTAAATAATGATCCTCAATCCATCATTCATCACCTACTACTTTTACAATTCAATAGAAAATTAACAAATGTTTAAATACATGTAGAAACAAAAAAAAAATACATTGCATCCAAGTAACCACTCTAACTGAAATTAAATCTGGAGATTCCTACAGAGCACGGAAGATATGGAAGATAATAGGCTATTCCTTACAGTAGTAAATTCAGTAAAGTTTACTGTTAACTTTTTAGTGGTGGTTGTGTTTTGGTAGTCTTATAGAAAAAAGATGCACAATATTCGTACAAAAGAAAGGATACTAAGACTCTAAAGCAGTGTTTCTCAATTTTGTGATCTTTAAGATATGTGGTCTTCAACTCCAAGCATTCCCTAGATCAGGGGTGTCCAAACTTGGGAACTTTAAGACTTGTGGACTTCAACTCCCAGAGTAGAGTTGAACTCAAGAGTAGAGTTGAACTCAACTCGCCCTGGCTGGGGAATTCTGGGAGTTGAAGTCCACAAGTCTTAAAGTTCCCAAGTTTGGACACCCCTGCCCTAGATGAACATGCTGGCTAAGGAATTCTGGGAGTTGAAGTCCACACATCTTAAAAGTTGCCAAGGTAAGGAGGGGAAATTCCAATATTACAAATTGGGTTAAATTAACTTCTCATCAAAGTTTAATCTTCAATTGATTCTGTTTTTTTTCAAAGGGGATATCTCCATCCACTGCTTCTTTAATCTGCACTTTGAATTCAGAGCTGTTTGAAACAAATCTCATCTTCTGGTCATGTAAGAAGAAATATTGATAGTCTCATTTAATTTTTATAATCAAAGTTTCTACAATGTTGCCATAGCGTTCATTTTTCCTACCATTAGAGGGCAACTGCAAAATTCAGAATTACTAGATGACAGTCAGATATAAAGAAAATCTTGCCGGCATCTTGTGGTCATTTTAGGATTTGCAGTCCAACAAACTGAACCTGACCTTGAAGGCTAAGAACTTGGGATAGAGCTGGAAGGGACCTTGGAGGTCTTCTAGTCCAACCCCCTACTCGAGTCGGAGACCCCATGCCATGACAGGCAAATGGCTATCCAATCTCTTCTTTAAAATCTCCAGTGGTGGAGCACCTGCAAACCTCTAGCAACAATAGCAATAGCAATAGCAGTTAGACTTATATACCGCTTCATAGGGCTTTCAGCCCTCTCTAAGCGGTTTACAGAGTCAGCATATCGCCCCCAACAACAATCCGGGTCCTCATGTCTGGAGGTGGTAGATGAAGAAGAGGAGGAACAGCTGGGTCCANTATATATATATATATATATATATATATATACACACACTATAAAAATATAGTGTGTGTGTGTGTGTGTAAAAATTGCACAAATCAAATTTTATCATTTTAGGTATATCAAATCAACAGAAATAATATTATAAAAAATAGAAAAACCAGTTTTATCCCAAAGAGAAGGAATATTTATAATAAATGATTTTATTAAATACAATAGAGCTCATTGTTAGAGTTTGAAATAAAAATATGAAGTAAACCTGACATGCTTTTCCCATCATAAAATAAGTTGCTATGCTATCTTAACTGACAGATGCAATTTGCAGTCACTATAAAATTACCTAGAACATCTTATTGTCCTCATGAGAGATTTACATACAGACTGGGAAAACGCAATGTGGAAAAAACATATTATCAGGGTTCCAAGTAACACCCCCAACACAAGAAGACTCCAAGGCTCAAAGTTCCTCAAAGTTCCATTTTATTAGAGATGTCATATTGGCACATTTGGGGAAACCTGAATCTGAAAGGTTCCAGGTTTTCCCCACCCAAAAGAAAGCCCAAGTTCCTTCCTCTGCATCCACATATCCATCACATGGTCCAATCAATGCACCATGTCTAGATAGCCCTCACAACTCCCTGTAATCCCTCCTTCCAGTTTCCCACAGCACTAAGTGTGGCATCCCTGAAGATCCAAAGAAAAAGATGACCTCCAGGGCTGCCACATGGGGAAACAGATAAAGTTACAGTGGTGATGGGTGCACCATTGGAAGACCTGAAGGAGCAGTTTAGGGATAGATTGTCATGGAGAATATCTATGTGGGTGCTAGAGTTGAAAATGACTTGGTGGCACATAATCAGTCCATCAATCAATACAACCACTGAGGAAATGAGACTGGGTCATATTACAAAGTACTGAATTGTATAATTAAGGATCAAATAATTTATCTCAGTTCTCACATCATTCTACCTTTCAATTTAGAATCATTGGAACAACCAAAGATGGTATGATACTTCAGATTTGGGGACAAGCTTGTCAGTCACTCAATCCAATATTCTTCTTTCCCCATCAGGGTGTTTTACTATCTAAATGCTGTAACTTTCCCCGCCCTTATTAGGCATAGCTGTTGTAGCTTCATCCTTTGGCGTCTGAGTGAACAAGAACTGGAAAGCTAACGTCAAACGTATCTACTATCTTCCAAGGAATTGAAGTAAGTCACACTTGTATTTGATTTGGATTGGCAGCTTGTATAGTTTAGGTGATCATGATTAGCAGCCTATGTGAATTCAACCAACTCTAGTTTATTCACAAACAATGCTTTAATAAAATGGTTTGGAACGATTCATGCCTCTTTGCCTAAGTTTCTTGTATTGGGGCACAGAAAAGTCTTTCTACATTGTTCCCTTAAGTACAGTCCAAATTCCCTGCTTTCGCTTTTTCATTAGACTAAGATAAGCTGTTTCAGGCCTGTGTGGCAAACGCTACTAGAAAGCTATATGTAATGCTCTTAAACAGATCTGGCTGTTACAAACACTGTGTGGAGCCTGAACCAGAAAGTGACGTTCAACAGACTTTTGATTTCCCCAGCCTGATTGAGCAGCCAGATTTTTATTTACATAACCCCATTAGATGATCTGAAAGGGCTCCAGCAAGCAGCTCGAGAAAGGAACTGGACTTAATGCCCCCCTAAACAGCTTATCTTTGTGACAGCTGATTATCTGACAATGATATGCTGTACAGTATCAGCTCAGAGCCTATCCGTATTACATCCAGGGAAGAGATAGAAGATGCAGATCTACAATGCAGTGAATCTGTTAACCTTACAGTAATGAGGTGTGATTAAAGAAATTTGGCCCTGCTTTTTGGCAAAGGATAGCCATGTGATTCCTAATTGGTGGAAATACCTGTTTGGTACTTGACCTCGTCTAATCCCAAATCCACAGATATCAAAATACATTCTCTAGGGTAGATCTGTCCACTTGTGATTTTTTTAAATGTCTCTTGCTTAAAACTGCATGTACTTGTATAGATAATAGTACCTTGAAGAAGAGAGCTGTATAAGAGTAGTAGTGGAGATATTCATTTAATTGTTTACACAAATTCACATATTCAGAGTTGCAATGGCACTGAATTCAGTTATGATATGACAAAACACGAGACTATGACTTTCATGCCTATGGCTACCTGAAGTCATCTTATCAGCTTCTCTGGGCATAGCATGCTGAGTTTCTTTTGCATAGTAAATATAAAGCCTGCTTGTTACTATCATGAATTTATCCATAATGAGTTTCGGCGGGGGGCACAATAATACAGAAGTGGTTTTCCACTGTCTTCTTTTGGGGTGCTTTTTCACCTTCCATGTTTCAGTCTTGAGATCTCAATTTCCACCCACTATCTAAACTGAAGGTAAAGGTTCTCCTCACACATATGTTCTAGTCGTTCCCAACTCTAGGGGGAAGTGCACATCTCTGTTTCAAAGCCAAACAGCCAGCCGTGTCCAAAGACATCTCCGTGGTCATGTGGCCGGCATGACTAAATGTAGAAGGCACAGGGAACGCTGTTACCTTTCCACCAAAGGTGGTTCCTATTTTTCTACTTGCATTTTATATGCTTTTGAACTGCTAGGTTGACAGAAGCTGGGACAAGTAATGGGAACTCACTCCATTATGCATCACTAGAGATTCGAATCGCTGAACTGCCGGCCTTTCTGATTGACAAACTCAGTGTCTTAGCCACTGAGCCACTGCAACCCTCTATCCACTATCTAGGTCTGACCTATTTATATTTTTCAAGGTCATCTAGACAATGCTGTGATATTTAACTTTAATGAAAAATGTACATATATATGTATCTGTGCAAAATTTCATGTATGTGCATGTATGCAGTATGTATTCATAGAAAATTCTAGTCAATATAAAATTTTAATGTAAAGTGGATGTTTCGCTAGTACAAATACTAAACAGGTAACTAAACTATCCCCACAGAATATCTTGTATCATCATGTATGCAGAAAACCAATGTATTACATCCCAATGCATGGACCAGAAAAAAAAGAAAAGAAAATTTGGAACTGGGTCCATGACTACTCAAGTTATATTTCCCCCAAATGGCTGATCTACAAGTGCTTGCCTGCAACAGGCATGGAATGAGGAAGGATGATCACATTCATTCAAATCTGATATTCCC